CTCTGAGGGTGACGGAGCACTGGAACAGGCTGCCCAGGGAGGTTGTGGAGTCTCCTTCTCTGGAGATATTCAAGACCCATCTGGACGCGGTCCTGTGCAGCCTGCTCTGGATGACCCTGCCATGGCAGGGGGTTGGACTAGGTGGTCCCCGGTGGTCCCCAGAGGTCCCTTCTAACCCCTGCCACGCTGTGATTCTGTGAAGGCGATGCCTTCTCAGGAGCTTCCATGCACACGCTGTTTGAGATCCCCTTCTCAAGCCATCTCCTCTCCCTCTCTGTCATCTCGCAGGGGGTTGGACTAGGTGGTCCCCGGTGGTCCCCAGAGGTCCCTTCTAACCCCTGCCACGCTGTGATTCTGTGAAGGCGATGCCTTCTCAGGAGCTTCCATGCACACGCTGTTTGAGATCCCCTTCTCAAGCCATCTCCTCTCCCTCTCTGTCATCTCTTACGCTCGTTTCTTTGCCGGTGGTTAAAGACACGAGCACAGAGCATTTAAGATATCTTTTTATCGCTCAGAAGTATCACATTAATCGTGGGGCAGTGTAACCTGGGGTGCGCGACGTACCTCTGGTCATACGTCATGGGGTGCTGGTCCCAAAAACTGTGTAGGGAGCAGAAATAATCAGAACATAGGAACTTCATTGGTGCAAATGAAGTTACGGATCAGACATTCGAAACGTTTAATTGAAAGAGCAGGAACCCAAAACGTGTACTAGCGCGTGGTTAATTCCGACAGGACACTCGATGGGTTTGTGGAAGCTTTGCCTACTCGGTTTGCGATCGAAAAGTAAGAGAAACGGCACGGCCTCAGGGCCCCTGATGCGCGCTCGGCTCGTGCGCTCGTCGGGATGAGCTGCGCCGAGCTGGCAGGCTGCAGGCCTGGGTTTTCACAGTGTGGCTCACAGAATCACAGCATGGCGGGTCTGGAATATCTCCAGAGAAGGAGACTCCACAGCCTCCCTGGGCAGCCTGCTCCAGGGGTCCGTCACCCTCAGAGGGAAGAAGTTCTTCCTCGTGTTCAGCTGGAACTTCCTCTGCTTCAGTTTGTGCCCGTTGCCCCTTGTCCTGTCGCTGGGCACCACTGGAAAGAGTTTGGCCCCATCTTCCTGATGCCGTTTGGTCTGTCTTCCACGTTTCTTGGATTTACGGAGATTCCAAGCAACGCATCACCTCTTGTAGCTTTCCGCTGTCCTTGACGTAAAATCTTGCCTATCTTTACGTGGGGTCTGGGGGCGATTTGAGTCGCTTGTGCGGGGTCTGGCGGCGATGTAAGTCACCCCCACGGCAGTTGCGCTGTGTTTCTGCCGTGTAGTTTGCGGTGCGGCTTCGGGGGAGGAGGACACGTGGTACGAGATGGCGTGGTGAAGCGGTATCTGTTTTCTCTTTTGCAGATGACTCCGCGGGTGCCATTCCGGAGCATAATGAGTTCCTTTTTCCAGAATATGAAATTTTAATAGAACCCGAGGAGCCGGAATGTCCCGCTGACAGCAGTGTGGATCATGATGAGGAAGGAGGAGCTGTGGAGACATCAGAGGACCCGGAAGAGCAAGAGGAGCTCAGAGCTACAGGTGGCGCAGATAAGACATGAGATGCTGTCTTTAAAATACAAAATACTGTGATTTTTTAAGCGTTTATTGTTAACTACTGGTGACAAAAGGCCAAATCTAGAGTCATTTGTCGTGTGAGTGTTTTGTAGGCATCCCATAACAGAAGCTGCTTTTAGGGGAGAGGCTGACCAAGCTGCTGAGGCGGCTGTTGCCGCAGGCAGCTGGGAGCTGTGCTGTGTCCCTGCGTGCTTCCGCAGGCGAGGAGCAGCTCCGGGGTGAGAAACGGGGCCCTGAGCATCTGCTGCTGCACCGGCGCTGTTGGGACCAGCAGGCTGAGCTAGATGGTCTTGGCCTGACTTCGTTCAACTTAATTTACAGAAAACACTGAACAAATCTGTGCTAGAAGAAAACTGCTCTATTTTAACTGACCTTGAATTAAGCAGCTGACGCGCCGGGCCCTTCCCCCTCGCCTCCCCGCATTCTCGCTGCGTTTGCAGCTCCCCACGCCGGCCTTGCACACGCAGAGGGAGGCGGGGGGTTGCTGGCGTCGCAGGGGAAGGCCGCTGGTGCCAAGCGTTGGTGTGAGTGCGGGCGTGCGACGGATGCGCTCTTCAGCGCCCGAAACGGGCGCCTGGCACGCGCGGCATCGCTGGCCTCTGCCAGGTGTCGGAAGGTTCCGCCGCGATGCCCGCTGGGAGCCATAAGCTGTGGTAGATGAACTCCTGCCCTTTGCTGCGCTTCAGTACTACATCTGTGTTCGAAATGCAGCTAAAGCTAGTAAATGGGTCTGTGTGTGGCTGAATCGTAGCCTGTCTCAAAAATAAAAAAAGTAAAAGCCGTAGAGCGATTTACGCCGGGAATGATTCTTGAGAGCAAAATGCACTTCCAGGTGCAATATTGTTAATTTTGGGCTGCCCTGCACCAGCCTGTAACCTTTGGGGTTGTTTTTCCTTGCTTAGGTGAAGCACTTCAGTCCTTGGATGAAGAGACATTGGAAGCAATGGCAAAACACGAGACCGCAGAAGACAAGATCTTCCGCTTGTTCAAAGAGCGAGTAGCTGCCGAACCAGAGCAGGTCAGAAGATGGGGCAGCCTTAGGGCTTGCAGGGCCCAGCGTCCTGCACCTGCAGAGTATTTGCAGCCTTTTGCACGTCTGGTTAGAAATGGCGATGAGGATGCCTCCTCATCCTCCCCACACCTTCGCCAGCATACCCTCGTCTGCCTTACGTGCAGAAATTGATCCCTGCTGAAGTAAGAACTTTCCACCTGCTCATCCATCTCCAGGAGAAACTGGTCAGGGTGAGAAGGCCCAGGGGCGCCGAGGCCAGCGCGGTGGGGAAGGACCTGCTGTGCTGCGACGTGGTTCTGTGAACCGCTGCGCTCTTGCCCAGCCTTTGGCCCTGTTGGCTTTCCTCCTCAGAATCACAGAATCACAGAATCACAGAATAGTAGGGGTTGGAAGGGACCTCTGTGGGTCATCTAGTCCAACCCCCCTGCGGAAGCAGGGTCACCCAGAGCAGGCTGCACAGGACCTTGTCCAGGCGGGTCTTGAATGTCTCCAGAGAAGGAGACTCCACAACCTCCCTGGGCAGCCTGTTCCAGTGCTCCGTCACCCTCAGAGGGAAGAAGTTCTTCCTCATGTTCAGACGGAACTTCCTGTGCCTCAGTTTGTGCCCATTGCCCCTTGTCCTGTCACTGGGCACCACTGAAAAGAGCTTGGCCCCATCCTCCTGACACCCACCCTGCAGATATTTGTAGGCATTTCTAAGGTCCCCTCGCAGCCTTCTCTTCGTTAACCTGTCGTCCACCCAGGTCCCTCTCCGCAGAGCTGCTCTCCAGCAGGTCCACCCCAAGCCTGTACTGGTGCATGAGGTTGTTCCTCCCCAGGTGCAGGACCCTGCACTTGCCCTTGTTGAACCTCATCAGGTTCCTCTCTGCCCAGCTTTCCAGCCTATCCAGGTCACGCTGAATGGCAGCACAGCCTTCCGGTGAATCTACCATACCTCCCAGTTTGGTGTCATCAGCAAACTTGCTGAGGGTACATTCTAACTCTTCATCCAGGTCGTTGATGAAGAAGTTAAACAAGACTGGGCCCAGTACTGACCCCTGAGGGACACCACTTGTCACCAGCCTCCAACTAGACTCAGCGCCGCTGATGACAACCCTCTGAGTTCTGCCATTCAGCCAGTTCTCTATCCACTTCACCGGTTCCTCGGCAGAACCAGAACTGGGGGTCGTTTGGCTTTTTTTAAGGCGGAAGAAATTAGCGATGGCTTTAGAATTTCAAGTGTTTAAAACGGTTATCTCCCTCCGTGCTATTTCTTGCCAACATAAGAGGCTAAAAAAAGCCACACTGTCAAACAAAAACATGGTTCCCGGTTCCATTCGGGGGAAACACAGGCCTAAATCCATGGAAGTGGTGGAGGCAGGAGGAATTCTCTCCATGTCGTACCTGGTAGCTGAGGGGTTAAGGTGCACACCCAGAAAGTAGGAGGCTTTGAGGCTGTTGCCTCCTCTGCTTCCCTCTCTGACTATCTCCATCCTGACTGATCTGCGCAGGCGTCCTCTTGCTGACAGTGCCCGATTTGCTGCGTGGATGTTTGGGATAGAAACGGAACAACAAAGGACAGGAATGTCTGAAAGTCCCTCCTCCTCGGACCGTGCCCGTGCAGTTAGGTGCAGAACTGCAAACAGAGAGCGCTGGGTCGCGTTCCTGACTTTTCTGTACGCTTCCACGTGCTAATTATCAGGGTGCTCCTCCTCCATCTCAAGGCTATAAAATACCTCGGCTAGTATTTCTCTAATTAAGAGACCCAGAAATACAAATCGCTCCAATTTATCCCTGGATCATTGAAAAAAATGCTGTATGAATACTTCCATGATTCAAATAATTAAGAAAAAGGACCTGTCTTATTTGGAATACTGCGCTTGCAACTAATAGGCTTTGCCGTGGGTGCAGGCTTCGCCGTGGGTGTTACTTCAAGGAAGTGACCTTTTTCTGCACCATCTTACGGCTTTGCCCGTGTCAGTAAATACCCACTTTATACCAAGATGAAAGATGGTCTTGAGAATTTAAACTTCTGCTCTATTTCAGATTATCAGATACTGCAGAGGAGGAGAAGGCCCGATCTGGGTGTCAGGTGAAAATATTCCCGAAGAAAATGATATTCCAAATTGTTTATGTGGTGCCAAAAGGATTTTTGAATTCCAGGTATGTAGATCCATTTGAAGATAATACAGGTAATGAAGTTCAGCCTTAACAGGTTCCAACTGTGTAGGCGTTGGCTTGTAATCAGAGCAAGGTAGTTGAAGTTGCTACAAACTAAGTCGCAGAGAGCCCTTATTTACTGTTGGAACTGCTCTTCCCTGTAAGACTTTCACATCTACAAGGTAGGTTACCATTGGATAATTTGCACCATCCATAAAATGGTGCACTTGTGACTATGGAACCATGTCTTAAGTGATAGGAGTGTGGTACTTTGGTTTTTTTAAAATAAAAAAAGGCCTTCACGCTGTGAATTGGAAGTAAGGCTGGCTGGAAGTCCTCAGCTGTAGAATTCGGAATGCTAGCAGCACACCTATGGTGAATGCATCTCACACAAAGACAAAACATAGCGATGAAGATAATTTCAAAGGGAAGGTGGCTTACAAATCGGGCAACACTTAATCAAATGAAACTTCTAGAGATGAAAAAAGTAGGGCCACGTCTTTGATTCCCTGGGCATCTGCTGCCTGGTTTGGGGAATTCCAAACGGGTTTTATCGGAGCTGCCGTGTCACTCGGTAGCTTGGGTTAGGATTTTGGAGTAAGAGAACATAAAGGCAGGACCTTTCTTGGAGAGGAGACGGAGGAGAAGGTAGAGAGCCATGGCCTGCCTCTAAACCCTTGTTTTTCCTTGAAGATTATGCCACAGCTCCTGAACCACCTTCAGGTTGACAGCCTCGGGGAGAGCATCGACTGGGGAACGCTGGTGGTGTACACGTGCGCCGACAGCTGCGGCGAGGGCAGCGAGTACCTGGAGGAGTTCATATGGAAACAAGACTTCTCTGCAAGCTCTATCCGAATCGCCTAAACAGAGCAGTGCCTTGTTTCAGTGCACCTCTGCCCCTAGCAAGCAGGTCACGGGACTGAAGTCGCTGATACCGATCTCGTAACGACGACGGACCTGCACGCCTCGGCAGCCTCTCTCTTCTGCTCCGCTTCAACCTGGTGGAGCAGCCAGATGCATTGGTTCAGTGAATTCCGTTCACTTCTCAGTTCTGAATGTTTAAATAAAGATTAAATGTCTTTGGATTGGTGGAAGTATCATTTGCTGGCGACTGAACTTCAGATTGTTGTCTGACAGGGTTTTCTTTGTGCTGCCCGCCGTTAATTCCCAGGGAGAAGCAGCCTGCTGCGGGTTCGAGCGCCTGTGCTCGGGAGGTGCACAGAAGGCAGGGCCGAGGCGAAGCTGCGTGGCCTTTCACTGTGGGACTTAAATCCACTTCTCTTTCTCCAAAGGTACGCTGAACTTCACTTGGCAGTTGTTACACACTCTGATCGAGGGGTTATTCAAGATAAAACGCACAAGAATTGTTTTATCTGACTTTATTAACCGAGTTAAACTCCTTCCGCATGGGACTGTCTGGTGCGGAGGGGGTTTAACCCGAGCCAGCCCCACCAGAACGTGTTTGCCTTGTCACTGCCTGCAGCAGCACGTTGTGAAGCTGAATTGTACCCGAAGCCCGTCCTCTGGTGAAGTTGAGAAATACGTACCCCCTGCAGGGATTCTTCTGAGATTTGACTGCCATACAGCTGAGGCGAGAGAAAACGAAACCATCATCAGCCACCGCAGCAAATCCAGCAGGAACTGCTCCTGGGGATACGCTCGCAGAAAATGCAAGGCTTCACTTTTGTGCCTCGATATAGAATTTGCTTCAGTTACGTACTCCCTTCTCATGCTCAAACCGTTCCTGCCTGCTCACCCGGGGTTCTGAAGGCGATTTTTCTGAAAGCCCTAGGCCGACTGTTGGGTTTTTTTAGATGTTTTGGAAATTTAGAATCTAAATTTCCAATGTAGATGTTGGAAATACTCAAAGTGAGCAGGCAGGGAACGCTTTAAGCTGCTCGGTCATGGCAGAACTTGATTTCTAAAGGGGTAGTTTTAAGCCCTGATAGGTGGGATGGAGCAGCAAACAGCACCTGAGGTGACTGTACTACAGCTTGACTGATTTTCGGTGAGAGCAGTGACACCAGGCATTGAAATGGTGGAACACCGGCGTAGGGCACTGCGAGGGGGAGCAGCGCAGGCTGAGCAGCGAGGTCACTCGGGATTTGCAAACAGAGCGGGAGCAAAGCCAGCCAAAACCTCCTTCTGTCTGGAATGAAACGCCGGCTTCGTAAATACAGACCGTGGTTGCACCTGGGTTAGTTTTAGATAAAAGCTGTTTGAAAGAACGTGCAAGCCGTAGAAAGGAGGTTACTATTACTGGAAATTCACTGGAGAAAAAAAAAAAGTTTATTTTTAGTTCTCAGCCCATTAAGCTTCAAGCACAGTTCAGAGGAAGATTATGTACACGCTGACTCTGGTCGGAAGGGCCTGGACATTTTACAGGAACACTAATATAGTGAGACTGTCGTAGCCGGTAAAATACAAAAGTAGTAACGTAAAGGAACTCAAGAAGCTACGCAGGGATCTTTTGTGTCAGTTCAGCCAAGTGCAGCTATTTAAGACTCGCACAAATCCCCTCTGTTGAACACGAGGCAGCACACGCTCCAGGACAAACTTCTTGAGCCAGTCACCTCTTCTGCTCTAACGGACGAGAGACGCTCAAGCCAGACGGCGCCAGGGACGCGACTGCCGGCAAGCGAGCCAGAGCACTGGTACGATTCTCTCACAAACACAAGCCACTTACAGTAACGCATTTGCTACTGAAAAACCCAGATTATATTAAAAAAAAAAAAAAAAAAAAAATTTTT